CCCACATAGGGGGGCCGGGTTCGCTCCCTGACGGAAAACAAAATCAAGGGTTAAAGCCCCCTTCCCGGTCTTTTTAAAAAAAAAAAAAAAAAAAAAAAGATGACCGGTAAGGGGATCTTAACCCTTGACTTGGTGTTGTCAGCACCACGCTCAGCTAGTGAGCGAACCGGCCATCCCTATGTGGGATCCGAACCCGGGGCCTTCGTGTTATTAGCACCGCACTCTACCGAGTGAGCCACGGGCCGGCCCAAATCTCACAATCTTAGCACCCTAAATATCAACACATCTGGGAAATCCTGGGGAATTTCCTCCTGCCAGCGGTTCTTCAAGCCACTTCACACACAGCAGCCTTGCCTACACCCAGCCAGAGCCTATCAATCAAATAGAAAGCAGCTTCGCTTCACTGGACGATGCAAACTGTCTAGGATCAAACTAGAGAGAAGTCAGGAAACTGCGCGCTTACAGGAGCACCCGGGACGTCATATCCGGTCGCCCGTTGGGCAGCCTCAGCCTTACCGGAAGTCTCCGGCGTGATGCGGCAAAAACGCCCATCCGGGACGTGTCTCTTCCAGCAGCCAATGGGCTCTGTCCAGCTCCGTCCTCTGTGACCTGTGACGTTTGAGGGCGGGGCGCGGAGGGCGCTACGAAAGCCAAGAGGGGCCAGAATCCCCAGTCGCTTCGAAGAGGAGAACGGGAGGCGGGATGGTTTACATCTCGAATGGTGAGTCGAAAGGGTTGCAAGGGCACCGGCTGGCCTGGAGGGCCGGACCCTAGCTTTGTTTCATCCTCGGTCGCTGAGTCCGGGACTCGGTGCGGCTTTCCCGGGCTTAGCGCCCCGCGGCCGGGCGGAGTCGGATGCGAAACCTCCCCGACCTGTGGCGCGTCCGCGGATCGTCCCTGAGTCGGCGTCGGGGGCCGAGGTCCGCTTGGTGAGGTCGGCGCCGGGTTCCCTACAGCTAACTTGTGTATTTGCGGAAGTGCTCTTTCCTCTCGGGTGTCGAGATCCTTAACTAGTAATGACAACGACGTTGACCGTGTGCGTAGCTCCTATGCCTTGGGCACTGTCACGGCGTTATTTGCTTATCATGCTGTTCAGTCTTTATAACAGCCCTGTTGAGGTAGTATTTTATGATCCGTACTTTACGGATGGAGACTCTTAGGCTCAGATAGATTAAACAGCTTGCCCAGCATCACAAAAGTAGTTCATCGTTGAGCCGTAATTCGAAGACAGGTATACTGTCATCAGAGTCCTTGTTGTTATCAACTATACTGCCTCTTTCTATAACGTGTATAAAGACAGAGCCGAACTAGGATGATAATTAGATGAAAGCCTTGTATAGGCTTTTTCCCCAGGAGAGAGTAGCTAGTCATTCTTGCAACTTTTTGCCGGAATTTCGAGGGGTACGGGAAGAAGTACCATTCCTCTAGAAGCAAGTTAACTATTACTAGAATAGAGAATCAGAGAGACTTTATTCTGTGCCTCCCCAAAGAAAATGAAAGACAGTATGACAGCGTCAGATCAGTGCCAGAACTGCCTAGCCACCTGTTTGACTCAGGTGAAATTCCCTTAGTTCAATCGTAGCAAGTAGTTCTTACATCACTGGAACTAGGTCTTGATTCTATTTGAATCATCTGTTTACTTCCAGTGACGATTAAGGTAGTCAGTGAGAAGTCTTCTGGCTGAGTGCCCTTTGCATTTCTTTGCTTTTCAAAATATCCTCCTCCTCATCTCACACTTGAAAATCTTTGAAACAAGTAGGCTGATGGACACTAAAGAAAAGCATTAACGTTTCATCTTAGTTTGCACTTGCACACTTTAGTTTTGTATGCTTTGTGATTACAGCTAGTAGCTGGTATTTATGCATTATCGATTAATTCCTTATGTTTGTAGTGTCTTATGCATTATCTTTTTTGATCCACATAAATATCCTGTTAAGATCTTTTATCTCACCTTTATCTTTGAGAAATGCATCTGCATTCAAACACTTTATTTCCCACTGGGGATATTGGGGGGAGTGGGGGGGTGGGCCACAGGGTTCTG